AGTGAATAAAGGTGCTGTCCTATTCACCACTGTTCAGTGAATTTTCACTGTTGAAATCCAGTCATTTTAATAGGAATCCACGCCATCTGCAATTTAATAGGAGACTGAAAGATTTCCCTATGTGTATTTTGCATCGACTTCAGTTGGTCATGCAAATTTGTAGCATTGACCAACAGAAACGTGCTTGGTTTGAACGTGAATTTTGTGTGAGCTGTGTTTCATACAAAGGTACACCTTTGAAATGTACAGTAGACCTTTTTTGCATGCAAAATTTTCACTAATGTGATTATGTGAATGCACCTTAAGATGGCCCACAACCCCATGTCATTCCAAATCTGACTTTCGTTACTTCCATTGTATAAACAACAATTTCTACAAAAGGGAATAGGACCCGAAACTGTTTGGTTACAAGCCGAAGAAAGAAATGTATCCAGGTTTGGAATGACATATGGGTTAGTAAATGACCATTTTCATTTTTGAGTGGACTATCCCTAACAACTGAGATCTCGGTCTGTTCTATCACGTGTCATATTGACTTTTTAATGTAACATTTAATGTAATTTAGTTCTCAATTCAAATGAACCACTTTTATGATTCATATTCAGTTTGATGATCCTGCTTTTGCATCCTTTTTGAAGCTTGTCTTCAAAATTTCTCCTTTTGTGTTTCATGGAAGAAAATAGTCATACAGGTTTGGAACGACTTGAGTGTTACTAAATGATGGAATTTTGTTTTACTTTTTTGGGGGGTAAACTATCTCTTTAACTTTCTCTTCTCTTCTGTCTCTTTCACTCTCTCTCTCACACACACACACACACACACACACACTGTCTCTCTCATCCAGCCTCTCCAGCTCTGTCTCTATATATGTGGTTTTCAGCACACCACCACCACCCCATCTGTTTCTCTTCCGTCTCAAATACATATCTATATAGTACTAGAGTTGTGGTATCATCCAGATACCGCTCTCTGGCCAATCAATCCTTGATTTTATCGCCATCCAGTGGCCAAGGAGAGAAAATGATCAAATGCTGCCACTATGATGTGGCTAGCATGATAGTAACTGCAAGGTCAGTTAGTATGCGTCTATGATTCATGATGTCCTTCATCATAGCATGTCTTTTTTCATATCATTGACATTTTTATTTAGCATATTTTCCATTTATTTTCGTAAGAATGCAACAAAAATTCTATTATAAAAAGGAAGATTTATTTAAGACACGGTTGCTCAGTCGTTCCCCTGAAGAGCTACATTTCTGAAAGTAAACTAGATTGAAAACAGATCTTCAGGAGCAGGACTAAGTGATTAAAGATATTTTATTAGCTGCTTGCTGTTTGTGACTGGACTGTAACCCCTTCCCTGCTGTGTGCGCGGTGGTCTTGCTGTTGAAAGAGGGGGGAAGGAAGATAACAGAACTAAAGTTTTATTGTAAGGCCAGTGAGCCGTATCAAACCTCTCCAGGTGCCTTCTGCTTCTTTAGCCAGTGTTTACCAAAAAAGAGAAACAAATACAAGTAAAAGAACATAAGACGTAGCGTAGTAGAAAGTGTGCAACACAATACTGTTCTGCCTCTTTAACATCTATATCTTTGCAAGACTTGGTTCACGAGTTGGGGGAAATATTCTGCACACGCTCTGCGAAACTTCAGCTAAGTGAGTCAAAGTGAAAGAGAGCCATTACAAGTGCCTCATGCGATATTCCTTTATACGAGACATAGACTTCCCTCAAGCTGAAAATCAGGACCCAAAGTTTAGATTTTTTTTCCCATTGTGATACTTTTTTGTGTTTGTATGCTTTTCAATATTTCAGACCCATTTCATTGCCCTCAACATTTCTGAAAAACCGCGAAAACGAAGGCCTGATCGGTCCTCACCCCAAGCCCTCCACCAATCAGCATCGAGCATCATGCGGAATCTTCATTTCAGGAAACAAAAAGAAAAACAAAAAAAACATGAAGAAGAAAAAGGGCATTTTGATACAGGTCTTCTATGCATTTTGTAAGACTTACTGATCAAAAATTGCGGTAGGATTTTTCTACCTAAGATATGAGATTCGTAATTTTGTGTACTGTTAAAATACACAGGCAGGTTGGTGAATCGAAACCGAAAATTTAAAGGAGATCCGGTGATAATCAGACATGCTGTACCGCCAGCTTATGCATTGATCTTTACCTCAGAACTGTCTGAGCAATAAGTGCTTTCTCTTTCTGTTCTGTGTCATACCAAGCAAAGCTCTAGCAAGCTAATCGGAAAGCTGAGTAATATAAATATGCACAGTAAAATCATCTGTGATAAATTAATTTGAATAAAATGCATCCCTATATACATACATTTGATTTTTAAAAATATATTGAGTAGATTTGAATTTATTTAAATATTCTAAAGAATAGAATGCAATGTGTTTTAATTTATCACTGGAGGTCTTTACTGTGCTGTAACATATCAATAAATGCTTACTTAGAAGATCACACGCAAGTTCTGTTGCCATACCTGTAAGCATTTAGCAATTTGCAATTCGATTGATCTTAAGTGTTAACACTTTAAATCAGGGCTTATACACGAGTATTACACAGCGTTCAGCTGTACATCTGCAGTGTCATCTGAAGTTCACTGCTCTCAGAATCCTCAACCAGCCTGGGTATTGATGTTGACTTTGTACCTGATTATCCCATTGGCATCAGCACGTACTGTACAGAAACTGGGATGAGCCTTGTAAATGTTTAGTTTGGCTTTATTTTTGTGAGGGGGAAGATTTAGTTGTTGTTTTTTTCCCCAAAACATTCAAATTGTAGCATTTCCCTTACTGTAGCAGATCTTATGAGAAAACAAGCTTATTGTACATAATTATAGACCATGGACTTTTTTTTTTATTATTATTTGTATTCTCGATTCCCCCAATGTCTCACATATCAGAAATACACAGCACTGTCGAGTTATCTTGAGACATGTGCAGCATTTTAAACCGAGGTGCCCACTTGGCTTGACGAGAAGCTTGATATATAAAATGATTCTTATAATTCAATCTTGCATGTCTGTAGTGAGTATACTAGTTTTAATAGCACTGGCACTTACAATGAAATTAAATGTCCCCATGGCATGATACTGTATTCCACAGCCCAGGAGGCCAATTGCAATGTTTTATAGTTGCCAGTTTCAAATTATTCAAATTGTGGAATCTGATCTGACAGTTTGATTGCCCCCTAGTGCCCACTGTGGTTTTTGCACACTGTGGTCTTCTTTTATATTCCTCTTCATGGCGTCTTCAACAACATATTAAAATCGAGATTTAGAGACACAAAGACCACAAGTATGTAGTCCTCAAAAATAAGAATTAGCATGCCCATCGAACATTTGTCCCGCTTCATATAGGCTTCCTTGTACTGGAGACAGTTTAGACCCTTAGGTGTTCAGTAGTCAGAGATGTAGTCTCAAGGATGATCCATACTCTGAGCCAACCAATATATGAATGCAGTGATGCAATGTTTTTTTATAATAATGTCTGCAAGGTTCCTATCAGTGCAAATGTGCCATTTAAATGCTAATCAATGATGTCATACTCTTTCCCTCTACCGAGAGAAATCCAGATGGGCGTTTGACGCTTTTAAAATGTCAAATCACAAACAGAGTGTTTCGGCTTTGAATTTTCAACTTGAATTTGTTATATTGGCCTTGTAAGGAGTCAGCCATTGTACAGTACAAGAACACTTTTATTTGTAACGAGGAAAGAAAAGATGTTTTTATATCTATATTCTAGAAATATAGGATAGAGAAGGCAGCAGGGGTGTAAAGTGCTTGAGCGATTGTACTTCATTACTAGAATTATTATTTGAAATTGAAAATTTACAAAATTACATTTGTAAGAAATTTTTTTTATTACTTTGTAAAATGTAATTTATATCTTTAAAAAAGTGCATATTTCCCTGGCCACCATGCATGACAAAAACCTGAAAGTTGAAATATGTCATGTAAAATGTATTTGGCCATAATTATGGTCTTATTTATATTATATGCATTGTTGAAGACTAATATGACTGAAGTGAGAAAACAGTTGGTGATCAGTTTATAAACCAGTGTTGTTGTTGTTATTAACTAAAATTATTAAAAATGTTTTCATTAATTGAAATAATTAATAATAATAATAACTGAGATAAATTTTTATATAAAAATTAGATTAATTATTTACACTTGAAACAAAATTTAAATTGAAATGTTGCCTTGGCAACTAACCAAAATAAAATACATTCTATATTGGCCTTGTAAGGAGTCAGCCATTGTACAGTACAAGAACACTTTTATTTGTAACGAGGAAAGAAAAGATGTTTTTATATCTATATTCTAGAAATATAGGATAGAGAAGGCAGCAGGGGTGTAAAGCGCTTGAGCGATTGTACTTCATTACTAGAATTATTATTTGAAATTGAAAATTTACAAAATTACATTTGTAAGAAATTTTTTTTATTACTTTGTAAAATGTAATTTATATCTTTAAAAAAGTGCATATTTCCCTGGCCACCATGCATGACAAAAACCTGAAAGTTGAAATATGTCATGTAAAATGTATTTGGCCATAATTATGGTCTTATTTATATTATATGCATTGTTGAAGACTAATATGACTGAAGTGAGAAAACAGTTGGTGATCAGTTTATAAACCAGTGTTGTTGTTGTTATTAACTAAAATTATTAAAAATGTTTTCATTAATTGAAATAATTAATAATAATAATAACTGAGATAAATTTTTATATAAAAATTAGATTAATTATTTACACTTGAAACAAAATTTAAATTGAAATGTTGCCTTGGCAACTAACCAAAATAAAATACATTTAAGTACTAAAGTTACTAAAACAAATATAAACTATATAATAATGAATAATTCCAAAACAACACTGCTATAAACAATTATACTCATGTGTCAAACAACTATATCATCAGATTAGGCTTATTTTAACAATTAATTTAATGATACAATTTCACAATTTCAGACTGTTTTTTTTTAATTCTAACAAGTTTTCAATTCTAGATTGTTTGTAGTTTGTACAACAAACTTAAATGAGGAAATCTCCACTGTCTTGTGATTTCATCTCGCTTTCATGTCTCGTCTATTTCTAAAACTAAGAAGTTTACAATGTGCAAACTTTTGTACTTTAACTTGAGAAAGTTTTTGACTAGATACTGTAAACCTTTGACACCGTAGCCATACTTCAGTGTAATTTCTCAATGCTTTTCACACCCTTGTGTGCCAGACAGCTCGGCCCACGATAATGAAAGCAGAGGACATTCTGTCGTATAAAGGAAGGCAGCCGCCCGGTCTGAATTCTTGCGATCTCTTTTTCTCCATTGGTGCTGATCCTCCAACTGGCTGGCTGCAGTCACTGTTTCGCTTTCCCCCATTCAGTGCATACGGAGGTCACCACTTACAAGCCAGCGGAAAGCAGTTAAAACTGTTTCAAGTGTTCAGATGGGGCTAGTGAAAAATCATTCTGTCAGCTCCTGAATGAAGGTTGTACTTCCTTTATAGCATAAGCGTCCTCTCCTTCATTTTGACTTAGCATAGACCGGACTCTCAAGTATAGAGAATGAGGAAGCAGGCAGCAGTGTGTTGCAGATTTTTACCTGCCGGGTCTGAAGCGAGACCTCGAGTAGCCGTTATTTTAGTGGCGTCCTTTGCAGGGAAGATGCTGAGTGTGTAATTAGCAGTCCGTGAGGGGACACCTTGAACACAGATGTACAGGTTTTTAATTGTTGCTCTTGATATGTATGAAGATACTGTATTGTTTTTGAATGCATCAACAGGGAGTTTTGAATTATGAATAATGACATGCAGTTACAGAAATAAACTGAATAAAACTGAAAAAAGATGTTGTGTTCACTCATTTCCACTCCCTGCAGCCTGGTTCCAAAGCCTAGTGAGCTACATAGGCCACAGTTTATTTTTATTGTATTAGCATGTTGCTAAGCCAATAGTGATGCTCATAATAAGTATAAAGCACAGATTAGATTTTTCTTTTCAAAGAAAAATTATGAAATCTCCCTCTCTAAGCAGCTCATTAGGTTTTAGAATAAAGCAGATGAGTGTTATATATATTTTAGTATTGTTAGATAAGGTTACTGATGATAATTTGATTTTAATGCTATGTGCCCAATAATTATCTTTAGATTCTCAGCGGTATTCCAACATGTCGGTTTGACTCATTAATCTGCAGTACATTTTTCTTTTAAATTGCTATGGAAAGTACCTATCTCTGAAAAAAGCTGTCAAGCTTTGTGCTAGCCTGAACCACGCTAATCATCTAGGAAGCGTGTGCCCTCGGAATTTCAAGGCTCTGCATTTCAACAGGCGAGTACTCGCACACATCACTAAACCACTTGGGAATAAACTCCTACACATACAACATCCAGCATCTTACATATTCACCATCTACTGCAGAAGAAAAATACCAAACTGATCTCTCAATATCACACAACACTTGGTCCTACAATACACAAACGCATAGGCCTAAGCTCTGTTCCAAAACGTAGTCAAATATAGTACATTATAAGGGGCTGTTCACACAGAATGCGTTTTTTCCCTGTTTAAATCCATGAATAAAAATTGCAGTTGGATAAAAAAAATGCCGGGTCTCGAGATACGTTTTTAAAAAGTTTAACTGATTTTAACTTGTGAAAATGGAAAACAAATTCAGTTTTTTTTTGTACCGTTAAAACAAATTAAACTCTGATTTGGAACACACTACACAGATGGAAACTTAACCTTTTTTTTCCACAAACAGTGCTCCTCACATGAAGAGCAAAGCTCTCAACTAGCCCAAAGTTTGGTATTGGATTAGCACATGTTGCTAAGCTAACAACATCACTTTATAAGCACAAAAAACTTAATATATCACACAAATAATGTATTTTATTAGAACTATTTTTATCAATAATGTTAAATACATATTCAGCATTTCTGTCATCCACAATCTTTGACATTTTTCTTACCTTACTGCATACTAAAATGATCTAGTCCCTGAAGGATACATCAAAAGCTGCCTTGGAAATTACCAAAGTATCTTATTAAATGGCCTGCTTATGTTACGTAAAATGCTAAACATAGGTACCAACCACACTAGGGTTTTGAAAAAAAAACTAAAATCTCTTGTGTTCATTAATTCACAGTATAAATTTAGGTAATCAAAGATCAGTACTTCATGCTTAAAGGGGTCATATGATGTTGCTAAAAAGAACATTATTTTGTGTATTTGGTGTAATGAAATGTGTTTATGTGGTTTAAGGTAAAAAAAAAACATTATTTTCCACATACTGTACATTATTGTTTCCCCTCTATGCCCCGCCTTTCTGAAACGAGTCGATTTTTACAAAGCTCATCGGTCTGAAAAGCGAGGTGTGCTCTGATTGGCCAGCTATCCAGTGGACGGAAATGTTATGCCCCTTACCATACTGTGATGCCCTGTCCGGCCGGAGCGACGAGACAAAAACATTAAAACCCATTATAAACGAGGCATTTGTTGCATCCAGTGGGGACATAATTACAGACTATAATGACTTATACTGTATTTTTATGCGTTGCAAACGCGCCGCGTAAACATAAAACCATGTCTGCATTTGTGATCGGAAAAATGACAAACAACAAGTGCTACTCTACACTGCTCAAAACTCGCATTTGAATCGTCAGTGGCAAATTCTTTAAATATACAAAGTGAGTCAGAACAGCCGGCATTGTAGTCTACTCTCCCAGGTTCAGGAAACAGTCCTCCATAAAATGCGCTGGACACATCTGAATATTTGTGTTGAACTGTTCTGGAACAGTGTTGTAAATACAACTTAACCACTGATTTCTAGTCGTGTCCTCTTTTGGAAGACCAAACAAAGTAGTTTCGCTTTCACAACGAAACACACGCGGGCTAGAGTGAACGTAGGCAGGCTTGAGTGAGCGGCGGCGGACGGGCTTGAAAACGGCATGGCCGGCGGATTCGATGAAGGAGCGTCCGGGCGGGCTTGCGGCAACCACATGTGACGACCCCGGGCTGGACTCCGCTTCGTCCACGGTGAAAGCCGATCCGGCGATCCACAGCGCGAAGTTGTTGTATTTCCTCAGCAACCAGCACGGATCAGCTCCAGGCATGACGAAGCGGATATCGTCCTCTTTTGGAAGGCCAAACAAAGTAGTTTCACTTTCACAACGAAACACACAGCGTCTTCACGACATGGCGGCGGCGGCAACAACAATACTACAGCGAGAATAAAAGTTACACCTACTTTCTTTGCGTGAACATTTGGGCGACGTTATGCAAATCTTCCCACATCATGACGTAGATATGTGGGGGCGTGTTAGAACGAGCCGTTTTAGGTAGGCGTGGTTGACTCTTAACTTTTATAAAGAACATCTCTTTGGATTTGAGGCTTTAGTCTTTGCAACTTTACAGATCTTCTTTATGCACCAAGAGCTTGTAACACTCCAAAGATAAAGGAAAAATGTAAATCGCATCATATGACCCCTTTAAGAACATTACTCAGTGTAACTGCATGAATTGGAGGACATTTTTTTCCCCCTCTCTCTACTGAGTCTTGCTCCAAAAGCACATACTAGCATTCATCAAAATACATTTGAAACTATGATTATCACACTTTGCACTTCAGAGTGCGAGCAGGCCTGTGGGAATAACAGTAGAAGGCTTCTCTCTCCCTCTCTCTCTATTCTAATTGCTCTCACTAATTATACGCTATGCCCTACACCATGTTAACTATGAAACGGGAGGGCGAACAGAGGCTGCTGTGCCTCATCCTTCCTCCCTCTATTTTGCCCCAGCATATAGGGCTGAAAACTCAGATAACATTAAGAATTTGAAAAGCATTTTTGAAAAGCAGATTTTTTTGAATCCCTTGATTTCAACATCTCTCAGCTGACTAAGAGTCAATAGTATGTATCTAAGAGATCACGACATCTTTATTTTTAATCTGGGAGCGCACGTAACGTACGCCTGAAAAACCCACACGTTGCTGGGGTGTGCATGTGTGCTGTTCAGGGAAGCAGAAGGGGGCTGGATGTTGAGCACCAGGGAAATGTCATGTTGACCTTTTTAATCAGCAAGCTACAGGCTGCTTCAGTCGAGACGAGGAGGGTTTGTGTCACTCACATATGAAGTATAATCGGCGATAAGTGCGAGCCGTGTACACAAGGGCTGTATATTACAGCGTCTCTGATATGTTGCATTATGCAGCTGGCCTGGATTTTGTATGTGTGGCAGGTGGTGGACCTAAGAAATGAGGATGTTTTTGTAGTCCATTGTAAATTCATGTCCTATTTACAATTTCTATTTACAATTTCCAGGTTAAAGGAGTTGGCTAGCATGCTTAGCATGCTTTATTCAGGGCCTGATTAGAAATAAATTTGTAGTCATAATAATAAAAAATATTATGCACAATTACATCAATTACATAGCACATTAAATTACAGAGGCTAAAATGGTCAAATTAAGAATTTAGTTTTCCTTATTTTTTTTTTAGTACATTATTTAGCAAGCTAACAGCTAGCATCCAAAATTTCATACTTTCTGAGTAGGTGCTTATTTTGTACTGTATAAGTGCTTTGCGCTCATTAAAAAGTATGTTGTATATAGTATGAATGTGTAATTTGAATGTACTACATCTGTCATATTGTCATTGACCTACAGCGTCAATTGTGTTGCTTCACTGCTTTTTACAGCTGCTCCCGCAGGGCCTCATGGGATAGTATGAAGCGTCCATTCGATTTGCACTTGAGAATCTCACTGAAAGTCACAATAGATTATCTGTGTACTTTTTGCTCACTGTTTTATGAATACTTTGAATAAGGTGTAGCGTCTGGACCAATCAAACACACAATATATATTTTGTTAGCTATATTTAACAAATACTCTGTAACACCTCTCAGTTAACAAGCCATATGAGGACCTATGGACCCTTCCCCCGAAATGCGTAACACCTCAGGAAAGCAGAACAGGCCTCTGGTTCCATGGCAACCAAGGCTGATATCACTGGTTTTATTGCTCAAAGGAATGCAAGCAGAGAAAACTCACACCTCATTTACCCTTAGGAAAGACACACAATGCCCAAAAATGTACTATTCTCTAATTAATTAATAGGAAAACCTTTCTTTGAATGAACACACATACCCTTCAGGTCATTGTGTATGTTGTCGTTATATTGTATAATGTTTATGCCGGCTTGTGATGGAACCACTCGTTTCTGTCATCTTACCTATATGTAATCCTACCATGTTTAGTATCTATGAATTCGCCTTCTGATGATCTAAACGAGCGTGTATATTATATGTTGGTACATAGGCAATATATTAGTGTCCTGAGAATCTTTAGTAATTTTGATTCAAGTTCCACACTGTAAAAAAAATTCTGTAGTTTTTACAAAATAATTTTGGCAGCTGTGGTTGCCAGAATAATTTTGTAAAAAATACAGAAAAACTGTAAACACATTTACGGCCAAAAACTGTACATTTTACAGTTTAAAACTGTAATTTACAAACAAGAAATTTTTAATGTAAACCAGTAAATTCATCAATGCACACTGCTATTAAAATCTGTTTTGTACCTTTAACATACTGACAACCACCATAATAATGCAGGTGGTAAAAGAGAAAGCCACATGAATAATCAAAGCTCATTACAAGTAGCTTCGCCACAAGCAGAAGTATATACTAATATATAGAAGGTGCACAGAATGTATCTAAATATTTATAATTAATTATAACTAGTTATGATTAATTATTCATATTTCCCCATGAGCTGATTCGCTACAAAGGACTTCTTCACGCACCTTAAGTATGCATATTAATATGCAACCAGGCTCTTTTTTAATTATCCAGAATAAGATATCATCATAGTATGCTAGGCTTTTGATCAGGTATTGAGGAAGGCAGATATCAATTCTGTCTGGATCTAAAAAGTGTCTTTGTTCATTAATGTCTCACAATTTGCTGTGCATTCTGACAAAATAAAATTTTTACCATTTTGCTAATATTTTGTTAATCAATTAAACTTGTATGACTTCTTGACTTGTATTGATATTATACTTATAACTTATATTATATTACAGTAGGTGTTCTACCAGTGCCTAATCTAATTTTGAAGGACGTTTTTCCCTGTTCAGTAATGTCACCGGTCAGGATTGTCTCTAGTGAAGTGCTTGATCAAAACTGTGTGTTATCATGCCATCTACCTTGAAGAAAACACACTCGTCCTCTCATCTCTTTCCATCCAGACATTAATGGCAGCCTTCGGTTCTGTAAGCAGAAAACATAAAATGTACATTTATAGTTTTGGCAGACATGGGGTTTTGGAATGTGATTTTATTAGTTTTATAACCCAACTATTGGGCCATGTTGAATCCTCCCACCTGCCCTTTGTTTAATGGAGCACTGCCATTGCTATTTAAGCGCAAATGTCACTGTCAGAATGAGACAACAATTGGACCAGACCACATAAAGCTAACACAGCTCTACAGAGAAAATATCAGATCAACTGTAAAACCGATGTGACATGTTGATGAAGCTCCTTATATAACACGCTGCTTCTTGTGAATGAATGGTTAAAGAATAGGAAATGTTCCTAAAGCATTTAAGAGGGAATCGAAAGCTCAGTGTGAGAGAACAAACGCTGTGGTTGCCCTGTGGGGAGAGAGAGGAAGAGATGGGGAGAGTTGAAAACATGACAGTAGTTTTGAAGCTCAGATCTTCACAATGTTCTCCAGCTTTTTCTTAATGACTGGTGTCAGAGACATAAAAGCACAAGAGAGATGAAAAACAGGAACGAAAGATATAAAGGGATGAAATGAAAAGGAGTAGTGAAAAGAGGATAAAATTATAGACAAACAGACAGATAGATAGATAGATAGATACTGAACATTTATAGTTAGAGACGATAGACAGATAGATAGATAGATAGATGCACAGAGAATTATGCAGTTGAATAATTAAGGCTTCTGTGTGGGAGAGTAAGAAATTAAATGGATTTCTCTCTATCCATCTTTTTTTGCCTCTGCAACTTTTCTCCTCCGCATGCACCTCTTATATAAACAGTGGATATGCTCTATATGAGTGAAGCGTGCCCAATTCGCCCGTGCAGAGCGCAGACTCTCACGCGTGAACACGTTTTCTATGAACTTTCAGAAGAGGGCATCTGAAGTGATCTGATGAACAAGTGACGCAGAATGCCGGGGTAAAGATTAATCCTGAACCCAGAGGTCAGCACAGAGAGGCTTTTGTTTCAAAAACCAGTGACCTGCCTACCTAGACAGCATTTTTGAACATCATACTTACTAGTTTTTTGTAGTAATTTATTACTGGAATGACTTTGACAGTGGAACAGTCTTTGAAATAACTGCCTCCCTTGACTACTGAACTAGAAAGCTGATTGAGACACACCCTAGGTTGTACAACACAGCTAGCACTAGATTATAGGCCTACGTAATGTGTCACACTGCATTGTATCTGTGAATTCAACTGGGAAACTGTTGACAGAAGCAAAATTCTACCCTTAATGTAGAATCTTACTGCCATTAAATAGACAAATTAAGCCCTAATGATAATGTCTCCTTGTCCTGCATGTGCTTAGCACATCCCTTTCACTCACACAGTTCAGCTGTGACTAAGGCACATAGAAAGAGAGGGCAGGACGTGTGGGTGGAAGTAAGAAAAAAATTGATGGTTTAATGTGGGTGCTGAAAGCAGAGAGCATGAGAGTGATTCAGCAAATGGAACATCCTAAAATTGCTGTAAAAGCCAAAAGCTACTTGTGGGTTTTGCTGCAGTAGAAATTATAACACCAAATAAAATATTCATACTAGGCACTATCATCATCTTAAGCTCACATTAACCGTGCAAAGCCTGTTTTTATATTAATGTAGGCTACTGTTGCTGGCTGAAATTTAAATTTGGACTGCAGTGAATGAACAACTTTGCCTCAATGTGTAAATCTATGCTGGCTTGCTTTTTCTGCAGATTAAATGCACCACACAGCCTTCAGTTTGAGTCTTGAGGTGTGTGTCTGTGTGTGTGTGAGTGTGAGAGAGAGAGAGAAACTGCACTCATTTTGGCTCAACGCAAGGAGCCACTCTCCCGTCGAAATGAATGTTACCGCGTTCCAAAATGGCCGACCACGGGGATACAGTTTCCCCGGCATGTTCCTCTAGCGCTACACGCTCGGACTAACGTCAGAGCCTCGATTGAAAAGAAAAATATATTCTCTCTGACTCACTCAAATGAATTTAACCCCTTCATCACCCTTTACCACGGCGAGAGGCGCTGAGCATCATCGACGTGCTGCGAAACTAGCGATCGAGACACATGTGGCCACTGCGGTGAAACCGAATGGCGGCGAGGGGCGGCAGGTGCAAGGCTATCCAGGGAGCATCAGGAGGGAATGCATGCCTGTTCAACATGTGAGCAATTAATTCATGAACGAATATCCTTAGTCACTGGCATCAACACGTCTTGACATCTGTGACATACTGGGAGACACAACCGTTTGGGGTAGTTTAATTAGTTGTCATGCAACGCAGTCTCCATAAACTGTTTTAAAAAATGATAATGACAGCTGTGCTCCATCAGCATGGGTGTTATTTAATGATCTCGCGCGCATTGGCTTGGCACTGTGTGGACGAGCACGCGGATGCTGTATTGCGCCTCTCAGCTGTTTCGGGACCTGAGCGCCTTTGCGCTGATTGATACACAAAGCGACATAAAACTCGACATGCTGTGGACATCATGCCCTAAGGATTGTATTTCCTCTCGATTTTGTTTTAGTTGATCGGGAGGAACGCGTTGCGATCAACCGCAACAGAAGATCAATAATCATTTGTTCGGTTTAAACTCGTCGAATTTGGATATTTTAATCTACTTTGATGCCATCACTTTGGGACATTCGACACATCGCCTCATTATCGCGCAGCTGTACGCGTTGGAGATGCGCGATTGTCTTCAAGGACTGTCTGGGCAATAAGTGTGAAACCGCTCGTGAGTAAACGACCAATGCGTGCATGAAACATTAATGATAGATGTAATTATTTTACATTGAAGAGAGATTAGTCTTCAGAAATAATGGAATGAAGGCGCAAAGAAGTAGTGTGTTATGGAATAACCAAATATTGTGTTGAACGGACTTTGCAATGAGTTGAAATGCATCATGCGTTGGAAATTTAATTCCATGTCTTACGATGCATAATGATGAGCAATATTAATGGCTTGAATGAAGAGATCTTGGTTTTGTAATGAGGGTGCGAAGGAGAGAGAAGGGGGAACTGGGTTGTTCTGAAAGACATGCGCACACCTCCCAGAAGCCAATTTAGTATTGCAGTGGATTTATCAGAAGAACTTTGGTCCGTCTCTCTCTTTCTTTACCTTTCCATCTCAATCGCCTCTGGAATAGAATGACTCCTGACGAAAATGTCTCCCAAACACTTCAGTCTTGAATATGAGTCATGAATAGACGGCCAGAAAACCGCTGCAGTGTTTCAACTTCACATTTGAAAGAGAAACGGAAGAGGATGCACGCCAGAGAAATGGACGAAAGGAAATTGGCTTTCCTTCCTGTGTAATGGATATTTGCTGACTTGGCTTTTTGCGGTGCATCCTTACCTTGGACTTGAGGTGCTGGGAATGTTCCATGATGACTTTGTCAAATTAGTTGTTTGTTCACTTTCATTACCTAATGAGAGTAATAAATGGCTAAATGATTGATGAAGTTCATTTCTGCAAACTGGCTTTGATCTCAATTCCATGATTCCTTGGTGGCAGTGGAAAAATGCCACATTTGACAGAAGAATAGCAATGCACACATAAACAAACACATGTTCACACCAATCGTAAACAAACAAACAAATCCCCTCATTAACATTATCATCACCCCTTGAATGTGAATACAAATTCCCAATATGGAATTTCCTCATCGCTTTCCAGTACTGTGACTTCCAAAGCTGAATTTAACTTTGGGGAATCTCAGATTAAAACCACTGACTATTTTACTCTGGTAACTCAACTCTAACTCCCAACACATTTCCTTCTCTCCCCCCCACCCGCTCCACGTGGGGGGGAGAGCTTCCTCTTACGGGGTGATCCCAGAAGCTTGTCCCAGCAGACGGTGACCGTTACGCAAGTGTCCATCAACATGGATGCTGGGCAGGGCAGCCCGGAGAGCCCTAACCGGGCGGTGGAGTACCTGCTGGAGCTCAACAACATCATCGAGAGCCAACAGAAGCTTCTGGAAACTCAACGGCGGCGCATTGAGGAGCTTGAAGTGCAGCTGGACCGGCTCAGCCAGGAGAACAAAGACCTGAGGTTGGACCGACAGCCCTTCCCGCCCCCACCTCCACCTCCCATCCACCCCGTCCAGCCACCTACTTCCAACGCTGCAACCTCCACCAACATATACGCCAATCAGAGCCACAACAGCGGGCCCATCCCGATACCCATCCCGGCTCCGGCTCCGGCTCCCCCACCTCCACCTCCACCCGTGCCAGCACGGGACCGGCGCGTCAATGCCAACACGCACACGAGGCTCGGCCAAAGCCTGTCAGCTGGAGCTAATGCCACGGGGCGAGAGAGGGACCGAGACCGGGAACGAGAAAGAGACGGCGCCGCTACCAGTTTGGGAAGCTCTCTGCAGCGACGGTAAGTACAGGCCTGAGGGCTCTTTTACTGCATAGCTGAGTTTTTAAGACTGTATGTTGGTGCATGTGTTAACTAAATTTACTACAGTTTATAGTAATCAATATATTTGAAAGGAATGGTTCACTTAAAAATAAAAGTTCTGCCATTTATGTACTGTCATGTCGTTCCAAAGTTCTAGTGTTCTTTTGGTCCCCATTAACTTTAATTGTATGGACAGTTGAAACGTTATTCAAATTATCTTTAGTGTCCCACAGAAGATAGTCATACAGGATTGGAACAACATGAGGATGTGTAGATGCTGACAGAATTTGAGTGAACTATTCTTTAAAGGGGTCTCATAATGCTACATGCACTTTTGCAAGTTGTTTGAACTGAAATGTGTGTGTACACAACCACCCTAAAATGATAAAAATCCACCCAGTGGTTTTTTGTTAATCGACTAAAATCTTTACCCCTTTCTCAAATCGAGCCGATCTCAGATGCCTGTCTGTGTGACGTCACACAGACAGGCCTCTCCCACGATAGTTTGATTGACAGTGGCGTTTCAGCACAGACTGGACTGGCGTCTTACCTTAGGCCTGAGTGAGCTGTCATCAGTCCGCCATTGTTTCACCGCTGGAGCAGATGTAGACAAGAATGACTCCTAAGCGATTGAGGTGTTCTGTTGTTGGATGTAATAATGAACATAGCAATCGTCATTTACTCCCAACATCTGAGCCGCTGAAGACGCAGTGGATTATGTTTGTTTTTGAAGGGAATGCGCCCCCGATCTACATGAATGCATCTATGTTCGCGCAAATCATTTGTGATCCAGCTTCACCTACTGAAGAAGTGTGTAAGTTTTTTTTTTTAACGAATCTTTGCAAATCGCCTTTCTTAATAATGTGCTAATTGGCAAGTTTCACGATGAATGCAACAGTAAGTAAACCGTCTCTCTGAGAGCGGCTCGGAAGAGAGGGGCGGGGTCAACAGTGCTCATTAACATTTAAAGGAAAATGCTACAAATCTGAATGCTCTGAAAAGAGCGGTTTTTGACAGGGTAAAAAAGGTGTTTTTTTTACACTACCATTGAGAAATTTTAACATAACTATGTTACAGACTTTTCATTAAGACCCTAAAGAATCATATCAACTTGTGGAAAATGGGCATCCTATGACCTCTTTAAAGCAAGTACGAGTAAACAACTGCGTGCACTGTAATATACACTGACACTAACGATTTGTACTACACATATCTGTGGATGTTTGTACACAGTTTGAGTTGTTTTACATCACACACTAGTATTTTAACAGCATTTACATTACACTAGCAATATTGGTGCAGAAATAAATCTAATAATGTCGGGGACCAAAGAACAGAAAACACCTTTCAGAGGGCATCTCTCCTGTTCGCACTCCGTCTGTCTTGCAAAACTGAAATTGAGTGCAACAGTCGGTCACAATAGGACTCTTTCCAGGCCATCGGACAGGCAGCTGGCTGTGCCATCGAGCCTGAGCATTACATAAGCCGACAGACTCTTATCTGGACAGACTCGTGCTGCTGGGCCTTTGGCAGAGTGACAGGCTAATGTCATGAGAACCTGGGATTGAATTGGCATGCTAAATCTGTCACCAATGTAATAACTTTTTTGATTTTGAAAGAGATTGGACTATGCCAGTGAAGTTTTCTGGAGAACAAGGAAGCTCAAGGAAGTTTAGTTTTATTTAATTTTACTGTAAACTAAGCTTTTAGCTAAGATTATGTGGAATCAAATACGCGAAGTACACAAACAGTATATCAATCTATCTAGCTCCTTCAAACAAGACTTTGTCTAATAGACATTCAAAGTTAGTCTTGCCTTTCTACATAAGTTACAGTAATATTAATTTTTTTTAAGCTTCAGATTACATTTGAACCACTTCTATATATCTTTTTTACTACCTCATTTTGGAATGAACTCATTTTGGATTTGAATTGCAATTTAAAATGTTAAACCAATTCATTTGTGAATCGTGCTCCAACCCTGTAGGGTTTGGCATGACGTTCATTTTAAACTGGTGCTATTGATGTCTTGTATGGTTTTAAAATGTGTTGGAGGAAAATAAATCTCTGAAAAGATTTCCACAATGAGCAAAGCTGTCAGTAGCCTCAAGACTGTCAATATCATTCCCAGCATGTGCTGCGTCAACATGCTCCGTACAAATCCAGAGAGATGTCACAGAAGTGTAGTGGGCCACTCCTTGTGCTTCTGACAGTTAAGTTGTTTGTCTCCCTCCCTCCCTGCATTGCTGAGGAATCGACCTCTCCATTGCACCTCTGATCGCTCCCGCCTGTAGTGTGCACTTGAGCCGGCTTCATCACAGCGCACGATGCATACAGATGCGTGCTTGAGCGTGTGGAGATTAACATTTGGTGGATTGGATCAGTGTCGAGCACTGCAGTACAGCATCTCCTGTAGTTTTTAAGGCAGGTGGCTGGTGTGGTGTGGAGATTCGTTCTGTATGTATGATCGGGCCACTGTGTAGGAGAGGTTGTGATTAAAATTCAGCGCAGAGTCAGATTGTAGATCAACTTGTGTGGGAGAGCGAAGCATAGAGTCAGAGAGAGAGGGGAAGAGGCTGCAGAATGCACTGCACCCTTTTTGTGTTGCTCACTTTCTCTGTTTGGTTTCTCCAATATGCACACCTCTTATTTGTTTCTCTTGCCCTCCTTTCCAGTGGAGAGAAACCGGAATGCCCTCTGTTTGTGGAGATAAATTGAGTGCTTTCTTTCTCATCTGAGACTTATTTCTTCTTTTCCTTGAGGGCAGATAGCGTATTTCGTTTCTTGCATAGTAATTATGGTTTAACTGTAGTATTTGTTAGGAGTGGCAATTTTGATTTATACCATTGATTTGAATCTTTTGCTTCTTTTCAAAAAAGATTCGTTCAATGATTTGATCAGTCGCTATTTGCTGAGACTAAATTGCATTTGTGTTTGCTGAATAAATACAACCTTGTGCACAATATGGTCTTTTTGTAGTTTTAATAGAAAGTCAACATGATTTGGAATTTAATAGAGGGCTTACAAATGTTCTTAATGCAGAGAGTGTTAGTGTGTATGATAAATCAGGAAGCTAAGTAAAAAAAAAAACTGCGTATTGAAATTTTCTTAAATTGTGTTTGTGAAAATAATTCTGATGAAATGTAAAGAAATTTCTTAAACTCAAACAGTTTTTTTTTATTTATTTTTTTTATCATGCAGCCCATCTTTTTGTCTATTTTATGTGTAAATCATTATTTTATTTATTTTTTTCTTCTTTTTTTGCATGCCTGTATCTAAAAGATGTGAGAAATATGGTTTTAACACCACTAGCATTTTCTTCATAAATGGCAATAAAGCAGCACTATGTTTTCTTTTCCTTTTTTGCCCCCACTCCATTTTCAGCTTCTAGTTTTGACTTTTGTCAAGCTGTGGAAAACGATAAAAGTATTAAGTCATGTAATTTTCAGTCATTTTACACATTCTTATTAGGATTGTCCTTGTTAAAAAAAAAAAGTAAAAAAAGACTCATGTGTCAAACAGAATGATCAACATGCCCTTTTGGTTTAGTTATTGTCAGTCAGTAAATCCTCATCCAACACCTCGTTTGCTCATTTTGTTCACAATTAAAATATCCCAGTTTATTTAGTTCATTCATGAGATTCTGTGTCTTGAGTCTCGTTCTGACTCGAACATTATAATCTTTGCTGCTTGTGTTAAGTAAATATTTGGTTGTTGTGTATGTATATTTATAACATGAAGATAAAAGTAGTTTCAAATCCTCTGCCTTGCTGTCATCTCCTGTGTCATTAGATGATTCACATGAACTCACTAGCAGTCACGTAAACAGCATCTGGTAGATGTGGCTATGTGTTTACTTTACACCTGTGAAACTTTAGGGCTGCTTTCGCTTAGCATCAACTTCACCTGAAACAATGAAAAGTCACATGACACTGTGAGGGCAGATGGCTTGTTTTACTGATAGATTTTGGTGTTTTACAGACATTTGTGACAGTTAGCCATCATTTGACTGTTTTTGAATCTACTTCAGCCATATCCATCCTTTTTATTCTCTTTCGGTCTCTCTCTCTCTCTCTTTCTCTTTAGACTATTGCCAAATTTTCCAATGCCTCGTTCACCCCCTCACCAGCCCTCCCTTGGTGTTGAGCAGATGGCACACCAACATGTCATTTGCCATTTTCTTTAGGGGCGCCTCTTCTCTTTTCACCCACAAGGGTCGTTTACAGTGTCACCTTTTTCATGTGAGCTCTTTTTCGGTTTAGATCCATGTATCTGCTCCCGTCCCATCAGACAGATGCCTGCGAATCCAAATGACCCAACTTGGGTGATCACAATCTTGCTCTCTCTCTCTGGTGTAATGCTTTCGGCTAATGAACAAGTGTAACTACTGCTGTGGGGGAGCTGTTGAGGTGGGATTGTTTCTCAGAATAATTAGCATGGCCGGTGTTAATTACATTTGTCCATTGAAGGTGGCAATTACTGTCGTAGACGTGAGTCTGTGAGTAATACACTGGGTGTTGGAGGACTGACTGATAGTTTATACAATTATGATTGAATAATTGAATGTCTATGGAGGAGCCTGCATGTCAGTCAAACCCGACACCTGCTGCTTTGTAAGATAGTCTATTTTATTAGTTGTAATAAAAGTCTTAATTAATTTTAACCTCATTTAATTTAAATGAGTGTTTTGCCATGCACTGGTGTAAAAAAGCACATAACAGAAGGCGTCATGTGACCTTTTCAATATTACTAACCCAGAGTGATTCCTAACAATAATATTTAACACTGCACATTTGTAAACCCTGGATTAATTTTCTTATTTGCATATTTCTTGGGTTGATTGGTTTCTGTGCTGGGTAGCTCTGCCACTGCGAAATCTCATTGGTTCGAAGCAGAGGTTGATTTGATTGATCGGTTTTGCCGATTAATCAGCACCGATAGTTGATTGCTGACACTATCGGCTATCGTCAAAAATCCAT